ATATTCCGCAGCATAACCGTGGTTAACATTTCCGGTGGTAGCGCGTCAGAGTTTGACTGATGCGCATCCCGGTTAGCTTTATATTGTTGGCGGGAAGACGGTGAGTAGGTGCCACCATGTCTAACCGAATCGACAGGTTGCATTAGAGACGTGCCGATCCCCTCAATCATAAGCCCTCCGATCGGAGGAGGAGGAGAAGGAGGAGTATCGCGATTCTCATTGAGACCAATAGTAGCACCAGTGTTGACACTCAGAAGAGTCTGGCAGGCATCTCTGAAGGAGTTAGCATCGTATAAAGCCCCTCCATACATCACACCCGCATCATTTTCCATATGAGCTTCGTCAAGTAAGCCAACACCATCTTGAGTATCAAACTCGGTATCGAACTCCAAATCCTCGACATAGGTAGGATCACTCATCCCCAGTTGCTCGATCAGATTGGGCATAGTCTGGGGCCTGGGCATGGAAGCACAGAGCTTAGGACTGACCTCCAGAAACGTGTTGCGGAAGTTGATCTCCATACCAGGCATGTCGGGTAATGGCCCAGGGGAGACTGGTGTTCCCTGTCGGGGAGAGAGATGAAGTGGGCTGTAGAGCGCCGCCCCGTCGCCTTGACTCGAACGGTTCAAACAGGACGGTTGATCGAGTTCAATTTCCATTATTCGGTCAACTGCAACAAACTTGAACCAACTTAACTCAAGACCAAAGCAGAGACTGAGGCGGATGAGGTTAGCCAGCACTGACGCGAATGCGGTTAGTCAGTGCGCACGCGTCTCAAAGCGTCGCTTCGCCCGCAGTCACGTTTAGTTGAATAAAATCGCGAAAAGTGGACGTGCCGGGGTTTGAACCCGGGGCCTTCTGCATGCAAAGCAGACGTGATACCACTACACCACACGCCCGTACAATTTGATCAATACATGGGTAAGCAAATGTCGTCAGAAGAAGACAATGATCCCAACTCCTGGTTCTTGTGATTCACAAGACAAGAAAATCTCGATAAATACTTGAAAACTATTCAACGCTAAACATGACACGAATTAGAGCCCTACCCCATTGAACAAAAAACTGTCTCACCAGAAGAAACCTGGTACATTCTAAAATCTGTCTGCGGACGGACAGTAATTATGGTGAATGGAATCGAGTTGAACTTATGTACAAACTTTCATCTACAGGACCTCCAACACTTTGAGGATACCGCATAGCCATACAGAGGAGAACAGAACAATAAGTAAGACTGTAGCTGGCGACTTTAGGTCGATATGAATAGTAAGATCCCAATTATATTTCTCGTCACCACTCTTCGCATTGGTGAGATGAGTCGCCTTGGACTGCTCACAGGGGAGCGCGACAGTGTTGGCGGGTTCAGCTGGTAACGCTTTCTCCCGCTTTTGATCGTCGATAATCTTCTGAACATCTTTCGATGTCTGTCCGATGAGCTGAACAGTTGAACCTATAATACCATGTCGTATAGTTGCAATAAGTCGTGAAAGCTGTACCGGTCAAGTCCTTGACGCTCTCCAGTAGATCCTCCACATTCCGCGTACGGAGGACCTGTAAAATGGCCAGAGAAAGCCTATAGAAAGTGTCTCCAAGCTCATGCATCTCCTTGGTGGTCATCAAAGCGCAGATGCGCAGCCAAACCTCCGCGAAGAGAATTACAACCTACCGAGAAAAAGCCAACATATATATTCAAATCTGCTAGCGGCCTAATGGAACGTACAACTCGGGACTCTTTCGTAGACACCGTACGGAGCGTTCGAGCCAGCACGCGCGCGCTGGCCTTCGCCACAGCAGTCGTACGATACACCAAGGGTCGGGTACTGCCTCGAACAACCCTGCTGATGGGAGAAGGCAGAAACTGACGAGTAGCAGCAGTAACGATATCCATCCCAAAGCCTACGCCACCACTTACGACACATGTGAATGTAATAGGCCAAGTAAAAAGAGCGACCAACGCATCGGTCAAAACTCGAACTTCGTCGTAGTAGTGTCCATCAGAAACAT